TCCTTATTTATGTAAACGACCTGCCCGAGGGTGTAAGTTCGTACTTGATAATGTTTGCAGATGATTCAAAGCTGATGAGTGTAAAAAACTAAGGAGAACTGCAGAAAGTTACAGGATGACTTAGACGAACTCCACGAGTGGGCAAACAGATGGTTGTTGGAATTCCATCCTATTGGAATGCACTGGAAGAAGAAGAAGAGTAGAAGCCACCACTTCAGAATAGTTAAACTGTAACAAAGGTAACGTAACAGGTACAACTAGGCTTTTATGAGAGGCATAAGGAGCTACACGTCACTCGCATAGGCAGAAAATAAAAATTGGAAGGTAAGTACTGATAGATAAGTACACACACACACACACACACACACACACACACACACACACACACACACACACACACACACACACACACACACACACACACACACGTGTTTGTGTGTGGGTTTGGGTATGGAAAAAAATAGGGGTTAGCAACAGTTGATTGACAGTCGAGAAGCGGACCGAAAGAGCAGAGCTCAACCCCCGCAAGCACAACTAGGTAAATACACACACACACACACACACACACACACACACACACACACACACACACACACACACACACACACACACACACCACACACACACACACACCACACACACACACGGAGCTGGCCACAGATGTCACAGCCAAATCCTGTCCAAACTGCCTCTTCAGAATAATTTCCAGCTTGTGTGACCGTTGTCAAGAGCCGTGGAGCCTCCTGGATCACAAACTCCTCGCCAGTTTTACGTGCCTGTTGTCCCAGCAGCGGACGTTGTTGACAACGCCACGGAATACGAAAACGTTACTAGTTCAACATCTGTTTGGGATTTACAACCGGTAATTGTAAATCAATTCTGTTTGTTTCTGACAGCTGATTATTGAAAGCTGAGGATTCGTCATAATGTATTCACCTAGTGGTACTCACCTTGTTATATGCTTGCAGGGGTTGAGCTTTGGCTCTTTGGTCCCGCCTCTCAACTGTCAGACAACTGGTGTACAGATTCCTGAGCCTATTGGGCTCTATCATATCTACACTTGAAACTGTGTTTGGAGTCAGCCTCCACTACATCATTGTCTAATGCATTCCATTTGTTAACTACTTTGACACTGACAAAATTCTTTATAACGTCTCTGTGACTCATTTGGGTACTAAGTTTCTACCTGTGTCCCCTTGTTCGTGTTCCACCCGTGCTGAATAGATTGTCTTTGTCCACCCTGTCAATTCCTCGTGAGAATTTTGTAGGCGGTTATCATGTCTCCCCTTACTCTTGTATTCCAGAGACTTGAGGTTTAGTTCCCGTAGCCTTTTCTCGTAGCTCAAACCTCTCAGTTCTGGAACTAGTCTGAATCTTCTCTTACTTTGTCTTGTGTTTAACTAGGTATGGACTCCAGGCTGGAGCTGCATACTCCAGTATTGGTCTGACATAAGTGGTATACAACGTCCTGGACGATTCCTTACACTAGTTTCTATAGGCAGTTCTTATGTTGGCCAGTCTAGCATATACCGCTGATGATATCCTTTTGATGTGCGTGTGTGTGTGTGTATGTGTGTGTGTGTGTGTGTGTGTGTGTGTGTGTGTGTGTGTGTGTGTGTGTGTGTGTGTGTGTGTGTGTGTGTACTCACCTAGTTGTGCTTGCGGGCACAAGTGTGTATGTGTGTGTGTACCTAAATGGGTACAGCTACCCACATCCAGGTCTACATAGGTCATGGTGCTGTTAACATGAAAGTGGTGATGGTGGAATAGGTAGCAAGTAGACAGTAGATGGGAGTAGACAGTAGATGGGAGTAGACAGCAAGTGAGAGTAGACAGCAGGAAGGAGGAGGAGACAGTAAGCGCGGGTAGGGAGACGCAGCCGGTTGGGTGTAGACAGAAGTGGCTCCTGTCTACAAGGACAGGCGAGGGATAATGTGACAGTCATTAGCCAGCACTAGACGGAGCAGCGACGACGGCCTCAGGTGTAACATTAGAAGTGCTGAGGGAGAGACGGAGAGAGGAACAAAGGGAGAGCCGAAGAGAGGAACTGAGGGAGAGACGAAGAGAGGAACTGAGGGAGAGACGGAGAGAGGAACTGAGGGAGAGACGGAGAGAGGAACTGAGGGAGAGACGGAGAGAGGAACTGAGGGAGAGACGGAGAGAGGAACTGAGGGAGAGACGGAGAGAGGAACTGAGGGAGAGACGGAGAGAGGAACTGAGGGAGAGACGGAGAGAGGAACTGAGGGAGAGACGGAGAGAGGAACTGAGGGAGAGACGGAGAGAGGAACAGAGAGAGACGAAGAGAGGAACAGAGAGAGACGAAGAGAGGAACAGAGAGAGACGGAGAGAGGAACAGAGAGAGACGAAGAGAGGAACAGAGAGAGAGACGGAGAGAGGAACAAATGGAAAGCTGTTTCTCTGCCTTACATCATGAGACAGAGAAACAAACAGAGGGAGACACAGACAGACAGACAGAGGAACCGACATATAGAAGGAGAGAGAGACAGAGGAAAGCACAAAGAGGAAAGACAATCACGAAACAGGTCAAGCAAGAAACAACGAGAATCAACATTATATACAAAAAGAGAAAGACAAAATAACACTGAAATAGAATCAAATAGAAAAAAGCCAAAGATAAAGGAATAATGTAAACAGAATAAAGAAATAGAAGAGATCAAAGAGACAATAGAAGAGTGTAAATGACGCCAACACGAAAGGAAATTAAAGAGGAAGAATAATGCAATAATTGTGAGGGGATAATATGGTGTTGCTTTATTGATGTGAAGAAAACGCATGTGTAAAACAGTGAAATATGTGTTAAACGTGTAAAACATATGTAAAACATGTGTAAAACGTGTGTAAAACGTGTATAAAACATGTCTAAAACGTGTGTAAAACGTGTAAAACATGTGTAAAACATGTCTAAAACGTGTAAAACATGTGTAAATCGAGTGAAATATGTGTTAAACGTGTAAAACATATGTAAAACATGTGTAAAACGTGTAAAACATGTGTGACAGGCGTGGGTGACAACGAGGGAGGGGGAGGGGAGTACATGTGATACAGAGGAGCACACAGAGGGGGGTGGGGGTGGTAACTGCACTATACTAGACTAACAATAACCATTCATATCCTGCACCACCACGTGGACCCTGCCAGCCCTCCGCTATGTTGTGTCCTCTCTGGTCTGTGTTGGGGGGGAGGGGAGTGTCTGGGGGGAGAGGAGGAGAGTGTCTGTGTCTGGGGGGATGGGTCCGTGTCTGTGTCTGAAGGGTCCGTGTCTGTGTCTTATATGCCCGTGTCTGTGTCTTATATGTCCGTGTCTGTGTCTGGGGGGGGGTCCGTGTCTGTGTCTGGAGGGTCCGTGTCTGTGTCTTATATGCCCGTGTCTGTGTCTATATGTCCGTGTCTGTGTCTGGGGGGGGGTCCGTGTCTGTATCTGAAGGGTCCGTGTCTGTGTCTTATATGCCCGTGTCTGTGTCTTATATGTCCGTGTCTGTGTCTGGGGGGGGGTCCGTGTCTGTGTCTGGAGGGTCCGTGTCTGTGTCTTATATGCCCGTGTCTGTGTCTTATATGTCCGTGTCTGTGTCTGGGGGGGGGGGGTCCGTGTCTGTGTCTGGAGGGTCCGTGTCTGTGTCTTATATGTCCGTGTCTGTGTCTTATATGTCCGTGTCTGTGTCTTATATGTCCGTGTTCTATCTGTCTGTTTACACGAAGGCTCATTTCTCCAGTATATAGAAAGCTACCAAACACTTAAACTGCAGTTTAAAAACCCGTAAATAAATACGCTTTCAAGACACTTGTTTACAACTTATTTAAGTCCATGCAAACTCTGTAAAAGAGAATATATGTTTGTCCGAGGGAGGAGGCCAGGTGTGTGGGGTAGGCCTTAACCCAACTTTCCAAGATGACACGCGAGGGGTATGGGGGTGTCATAGGCCGGTTGGGGTTGGCACCACTGTAATATTCCATACGCCTGAAACTGAGGTTGCGTTTTCCGTAGAGTTATTCGCTAGTTTGAGTTCCTGACTAGCCATTCTTGGTGATGGGGATTCTATAGCAGACATTACGGAACCCTTCAGACAGCCTAGGGTTGCTGCATGAATGCAGATGTGCCAAAAGGTATTAATACAAAAGATAGTATTATTACATTTTCCTAGAGAGATAATTGAAAGGGGGTAGATAGAAGAGAGAGGGGGAGAATGATCAGGTTAGTGGGGAATGTTGGTGAAAACGAGGAACAGAGAACATTCATTGTCCCCTGTCACACTGCCCTCTATACATTGCTCTACTTTCTTGCCGTGCGCTGCTCTGCGCTGCTCTGTGCTGCTCTGCTCTGCGCTGAGATTCCTCTCTCTCTTCCTAAGATGCGCAGCGTGTGAGACAGGGCCTGAAAGTTTGTCTTAGCGGCGTCGTTATTCTCACTACGTCAGGTATCCCTCACAGTCACCGCACCTCACAGTGAGAGACGCGTGAGGGACCTTGTAGCAGTTTTATGTTCAATAGTTGAGATTTTAAACATTATAATTCATTTTATATACGTTGTATTTCGAGTTTATATTTTCCCACACATCCTTAATATCTATTAAAAAAATTGCATCAAACATCACACATTTAAATTATAAGAACGAGATCTGAACATGAGAAGATATTAAAGTCATGTTAATGGGATCGAACTTCCTTCCCTGGACTTGCCAGAAACACGCACTGGCGTCTGCACTATTTTTAGGCCTACAAGTATCTCGGCCACAACTACTGGCTGGCCTACCTGGAGTCTGGGAGGCCCCATGCATCCAGTACCAGTCTAAAACTTCACGTAAGTGAAGTAGTTTGGTTAAGATGCTTTTAAAGTCATTACGGTTCAGTCGAGAGTGCTTGGTGAGTCCAGAAGAGCGAGTTCGATCCCACCGTACAGCCTCTATTTGTTCTCATACATCAGTTCTGTCGTGTCGTCAAGGACCCGAAAACAGGAATTTGATCACCAATCATTTCTGGCTTACCTGAGAGGAGCAGGAGCGTCGTCAGCAGGAGGCCAGAGGCCGCTGGAGCTTCTAGAGGGCGAGACATAGTAGAGGCCGACCTCTAGAGGGCCCGTGTATACCCTCTCGACTGTCTGATTCCGGCCGCCTCTCTTAACTCGCTCCCCTTTTTGTTTTTCAGGCCCTCTGGAGGCCCTGTTTCCTCTTTTGGGATCTTGTTGCTTAAGTCTGTGGGTCTTCGAAGTGCTTGAAGGAATTTTTTAGCTTGGGGATATTTGTTTACCCTCGCGGTCACTGTTTTTCACTGTAAGTCTTCGTCACTGTGAGAAGATTAGCACTGACAGCTGTGCTAAGTACCTCCAGCCACCACTGACAGCTGCGTTAAGTATCTCCTGTCACCACTGACAGCTGTACAACTTGTAAACACTACCTTTAAACGACGTTCTAAATTTTACTCTATAGTTTTGGCATTTAGCTTTCTGTGAGTCTACTTAAAAAGTTTGAAAACACTTTACAAGATGTTAGAAGTTTAATCTTTTCTTATATACATATGTGTTTGTGTGTTTGTTTACATTTGTATGATGTCACTTTTCGCAAAATGTTTTAGTCTTTATCTGAAAATATTGATTTATATTGAGGATTAGTATTACTCCATTTCAGATGAGTTGATTGTTGTCTTACACGGCGCATTCACCACAAACTACGCAAACACTCCAGGCGTGAGGAAGAGGCTACGAACACGCCGTTTTTCCAGGTAGGGATGAGTTAAAAACACCGTTTTTCCAGGTAGCGATGAGTTAAAATACCGTTTTTCCAGGTGGATTGTGAATTAAAACACTGTTTTTCCAGGTGGATTGTGAATTAAAACACTGTTTTTCCAGGTGGATTGTGAATTAAAACACCGTTTTTCCAGGTGGATTGTGAGTTAAAATACCGTTTTTCCAGGTGGATTGTGAATTAAAACACCGTTTTTCCAGGTGGATTGTGAATTAAAACACTGTTTTTCCAGGTGGATTGTGAATTAAAACACTGTTTTTCCAGGTGGATTGTGAATTAAAACACCGTTTTTCCAGGTGGATTGTGAATTAAAATACCGTTTTTCCAGGTGGATTGTGAATTAAAATACCGTTTTTCCAGTTGGAGGGTCAGTTAAAACACCGTTTTTCCACCTAGGGGGAGGGGGGTTGAGTTAAGAAACCCTCAACACTAATTTACACACGTTTCTTGTGGAGTACAAACAGAGATACATTGTTAATTGCGTTTAAAGAACACTTTTAAGATTGTAGTTAAGTGCTTAATACAGAACCCCTTTAATGACGCTAATTCAGGCTCATTTATTTGAGTGTTAATTTTGTTATCAACTGCCTTTATAAGATTTATTTATTAAAGTGATGTAAACACGTTTAAGGGAGAGACGGCCATCGTAAGATTGTATCTTAGATGGTGCGTCTGTCTGTTCTGACATGTTTGGAGGTGTTGAGACGTCAATCTGACGTAGGTTCAGGTGTTTGGCAGGTGTCTAGCATGTGTGTGTATCAGGTAAGTCACCATCAGACTGTTGTGTGATATTTATCATATGTTATCAGTATCTATATTTTAATTTCAAGTATTTTTCTTGTTAATGCAATTTTTCCATTTCGAGTCGATATTGATGAGTGAATTGTATTTGTTTTATTTGTTTTGCTTATTTTTCTTCGTTTTTTTTTAATATCTTAGCTTCAGTTTTCAGGTAATTTACCTTCTGGTAAAGATTGACAGACTGCTTTATATTCAGACCTGACTGCTTTATATTCAGACCTGACTGCTTTATATTCAGACCTGACTGCTTAATATTCAGACCTGACTGCTTTATATTCAGACCTGACTGCTTTATATTCAGACCTGACTGCTATATCAGATACATACACAAGTGACTTTCAGTCACAGTTCAACACACACACACACAAAAATTCATCGCTAAATCTGGCGCTTGACATTTTTTGCAATTAAACGAAGGGACTCGTTCATCATTTTTGCAAAATTTTCTTCCATTTTTATCCGCCATAGTATCACTGGAATTTTTTTTTATTCTGGCGTCGATGTCCTCAGGTTAGGAGAGGTTGAGAGATGGTTGTGTATGTGTGTGGGTGCCGCTCTATTTCTTCACTAAGCTTGGGCATCCCTGGATGCTGGTGGAGGCTGCGTTTCATCTGACGTCCAGCTGATGGGATACAGCATCACCACCACCTCACCAGCCCTGGAAAGACAGAGAGAGATGATGATGCTCTGGATTTGGGGAGATGAAATTGGGTTACCTAAGCTCTTTAAATGCGGGAAACGATTATGTACGTTGCGACTGGGATGGAAAAACGTTTTGAGACATTTCTGCTTATTGAATCGTTTACGGTCGATGTTATTTGTTCAATGAAAATAAAACGAGAAGGTAACGAGCGTTAGTTTTTGTGATTTTAGGTGATTGCTAATTACTACCGGTACACTAACGCGTACACTAACACACACACACACACACACACACACACACACACACACACACACACACACACACACACACACACACACACACACACACACACACACACACACACACACACACACACACACATCCTACACGCAAATCATTATTATTAAAAAAACAAAAGGGGCCTTAGTTTATATGTTATTAAAAACGTGATGTGGTTCCTGCGAGGAAACGTTTGTCGAGCTCTCTTTGTACTTCAGGTCAGCGATCTGGCCACATTCCCGCGGCTTTTGTTACTTCTTAAGGATACTACATCGTATTAAAGAAGAAGGTGTATGATCATTTGTAAAGAAGAGGTTTGAGTCGTTCCAAAACACAATCAGTTTCGTAAACCTTCGTTCGTGTGTGCACACAAAGATCATTATTTACGACGTGGAACTATACACACACACACACACACACACACACACACACACACACACACACACACACACACACACACACACACACACACACACACACACACATATAGGGGCCGAGACGCTCATGAATTTGTACTCGAGTAGATTGACGGTTGAGAGCCGGGACCAAAGTGCCAAAGCTCAACTCTTCGCAAGCACAACTGGGTGAATACACACACACACACACACACACACACACACACACACACACACACACACACACACACACACACACACACACACACACACACATCACATCTAACTCCTGAGGCAATAAGTAAGTGAGGAATTGAACAATAAATCGGATATCGATAGCAGCGTACTCTTCGCGAGCAAAAGTTAGAACGTCATTCAGAAGCCTTAGGAAGCATTCAGAGCGCTTTACACTACCTACGTGAGACCAATCTTAGGGTATGCAGCCCCAAAGGAACCCCGCACCTGAAGAAACACACTAGGAAACTGGAAAAGGTTCAAACATTTGCGACAAGACTAGTCCCGAAGTTTCATGGGATGGGATATGAAGAGCGACTGAAGGAACTGAACCTGACGACGTTTGAAAAAAAAGAGAGAGCGGGTAGATATGATACAAAATACTTGACAGAGGGATTGACACAGTGGAAATAGACGAAATGTTTACACACAATACCAGCAGCAGAAGAAGGGGGGGACATTGGTGGAAACTCCATGTCTTCCTCCAAGCTGAAAACCTAGATGAGTCAAAGAGATGTTAGAGAGTTTTCTTTTACCGTGAGAGGCACAGTAAACTCTCTCTCTGAGTAAACTTTATGGGAGGCAGCCCACCCCACCACTAAACACCGTGAGAGGCAGCCCACCCCACCAGTAAACACTGTGAGAGGCAGCCCACCCCACCACTAAACACCGTGAGAGGCAGCCCACCCCACCACTAAACACTGTGAGAGGCAGCCCACCCCACCACTAAACACCGTGAGAGGCAGCCCCACCCCACCACTAAACACTGTGAGAGGCAGCCCACCCCACCACTAAACACTGTGAGAGGCAGCCCACCCCACCACTAAACACTGTGAGAGGCAGCCCACCCCACCACTAAACACTGTGAGAGGCAGCCCACCCCACCACTAAACACTGTGAGAGGCAGCCCACCCCACCACTAAACACCGTGAGAGGCAGCCCACCCCACCACTAAACACTGTGAGAGGCAGCCCACCCCACCACTAAACACCGTGAGAGGCAGCCCACCCCACCACTAAACAACATGAGAGGCAGCCCACCCCACCACTAAACACCATGAGAGGCAGCCCACCCCACCACTAAACACCATGAGAGGCAGCCCACCCCACCCCACCACTAAACACTGTGAGAGGCAGCCCACCCCACACTAAACACCATGAGAGGCAGCCCACCCCACCCCACCACTAAACACTGTGAGAGGCAGCCCACCCCACCACTAAACACTGTGAGAGGCAGCCCACCCCACCCCACCACTAAACACTGTGAGAGGCAGCCCACCCCACCACTAAACACCGTGAGAGGCAGCCCACCCCACCACTAAACACCATGAGAGGCAGCCTACCCCACCACTAAACACCATGAGAGGCAGCCTACCCCACCACTAAACACTCTGAGAGGCAGCCCACCCCACCACTAAACACCATGAGAGGCAGCCCACCCCACCACTAAACACTGTGAGAGGCAGCCCACCCCACCACTAAACACTGTGAGAGGCAGCCCACCCCACCACTAAACACTGTGAGAGGCAGCCCACCTCACCACTAAACACCATGAGAGGCAGCCCACCCCACCACTAAACACCGTGAGAGGCAGCCCACCCCACCACTAAACACCATGAGAGGCAGCCCACCCCACCACTAAACACTGTGAGAGGCAGCCCACCCCACCACTAAACACTGTGAGAGGCAGCCCACCCCACCACTAAACACCATGAGAGGCAGCCCACCCCACCACTAAACACTGTGAGAGGCAGCCCACCCACCACTAAACACCATGAAACACCATGAGAGGCAGCCCACCCACCACTAAACACCGTGAGAGGCAGCCCACCCCACCACTAAACACCGTGAGAGGCAGCCCACCCCACCACTAAACACCATGAGAGGCAGCCCACCCCACCACTAAACACCATGAGAGGCAGCCCACCCCACCACTAAACACCATGAGAGGCAGCCCACCCCACCACTAAACACCATGAGAGGCAGCCCACCCCACCACTAAACACCATGAGAGGCAGCCCACCCCACCACTAAACACCGTGAGAGGCAGCCCACCCCACCACTAAACACCATGAGAGGCAGCCCACCCCACCACTAAACACTGTGAGAGGCAGCCCACCCCACCACTAAACACTGTGAGAGGCAGCCCACCCACCACTAAACACTGTGAGAGGCAGCCCACCCCACCACTAAACACTGTGAGAGGCAGCCCACCCCACCACTAAACACTGTGAGAGGCAGCCCACCCCACCACTAAACACTGTGAGAGGCAGCCACCCCACCACTAAACACTGTGAGAGGCAGCCCACCCCACCACTAAACACTGAGGCAGCCCACCCCACCACTAAACACTGTGAGAGGCAGCCCACCACCACCACTAAACACTGTGAGAGGCAGCCCACCCCACCACTAAACACTGTGAGAGGCAGCCACCCCACCACTAAACACCATGAGAGGCAGCCCACCCCACCACTAAACACTGTGAGAGGCAGCCCACCCCACCACTAAACACTGTGAGAGGCAGCCCACCCCACCACTAAACACTGTGAGAGGCAGCCCACCACCACCACTAAACACTGTGAGAGGCAGCCCACCCCCACCACTAAACACTGTGAGAGGCAGCCCACCCCACCACTAAACACCATGAGAGGCAGCCCACCCCACCACTAAACACCATGAGAGGCAGCCCACCCCACCACTAAACACTGTGAGAGGCAGCCCACCACCACCACCACTCTACATACAATACGAGAGGCAGTCCATCGCACTCTGCCCCTATTTTTACTACAGAAATAACAGAGGGAAATATATAAATTCATTTCGTTCACAAATCTGTTGGAAAGGCAATTGCACCTTTTAGCTGTGGTCTCCCAAGTGACTCATTGATCGAAGTGGCAGCAGTCTTTTTCCCCGGATCATAAATTGAAAAACAAAAAGATATGTATGTTTCCAATATATAATCTTTTCCCTCCTCCCTTTCTTCCTCCCTACTCCCCTGCCCCCACGGTAGGGGAGATTCACACACGCGCGTGCACGCACACGCACACACACATACACACACATACACACACATACATACACAACATACACATGCCAAAAAATAGACGGAATTTTGAACAAGTGGACTTTGTCCCCTGTGTATGATAGATAGAATATGGGCTTCGTTTTGCAAGATGGACGTATGGGGGTTATATATATATATATATATATATATATATAATATATATATATATATATATATATATATATATATATATGTCTGAAAACTCACACCCCAGAAGTGACTCGAACCCATACTCCCAGGAGCAACACAACTGGTAACTACGGGGCGCCTTAATCCGCTTGACCATCACGGCCGGACAAAAGGAAGTGATAGCCGAAGCTATTTGAACCACTTCCCCGCCGGCAACTCGGATGGTAATCTTGGGCATAGCATTTTATCAAATCACCTCATTCTTTGGGGCACACGTGAGGAACACAAATGCGAACAAGCCTGAATGGTCCCCAGGACTATATGCGTCTGAAAACTCACACCCCAGAAGTGACTCGAACCCATACTCCCAGGAGCAACACAACTGGTAACTACGGGGCGCCTTAATCCGCTTGACCATCACGGCCGGACAAAAGGAAGTGATAGCCGAAGCTATTTGAACCACTTCCCCGCCGGCAACTCGGATGGTAATCTTGGGCATAGCATTTTATCAAATCACCTCATTCTTTGGGGCACACGTGAGGAACACAAATGCGAACAAGCCTGAATGGTCCCCAGGACTATATGCGTCTGAAAACTCACACCCCAGAAGTGACTCGAACCCATACTCCCAGGAGCAACACAACTGGTAACTACGGGGCGCCTTAATCCGCTTGACCATCACGGCCGGACAAAAGGAAGTGATAGCCGAAGCTATTTGAACCACTTCCCCGCCGGCAACTCGGATGGTAATCTTGGGCATAGCATTTTATCAAATCACCTCATTCTTTGGGGCACACGTGAGGAACACAAATGCGAACAAGCCTGAATGGTCCCCAGGACTATATGCGTCTGAAAACTCACACCCCAGAAGTGACTCGAACCCATACTCCCAGGAGCAACACAACTGGTAACTACGGGGCGCCTTA